AAAAAAAACGGCATGTGGTATGCATCGCCTGGCAACCAAGGTTGGGGCTCAAAACCAACCAGTCGTAAACCATCAATTATGGAAGCGGATTTGGGTACATTATCAACCACATCAGGTTCGATAAAACGCAGTGCCGGACGTGTGATACGTATTATCAATAATTTAGATCATTCAGTTCAGGTAATAATATTGACACATACGCAACAAAGCACACATGCATACGATACACAAGCTATAGGTCAAAATTGAAATACACAAATATTTAAATTCCGCATTTAATCTAAGCTGCTTGAAAATCTTTAATGTATACCGTAAGCTATATATATGAATGAAATTTAAAAAAAAAAAAAAAAAAAAACAGGAACAACAATGCAAAGAATATAAATTTTCATATAAAAACCAATAACCGAGTTGGTTACATAAGCAATTGTGTTTTAAAAAATTGTAAAACAAATTTCATAAACGAGTACACGTATAAATATTAATGTGCATATGCACCCGTATATACATATACGCATATATGAATATATATGAATGCAATTTTCTTGTTGCTCTTGCAAAAATCCATCGAAATAATAGAGCAGCCGAGCGGAATATTCACTTACGGACTCATACGAATATTTCAATTTCGCTACTCGCTATCAGAAGTGTTTAATATAAAAGTGTAATTAGAGATATGAAAAATTGACAGATTTCTCTCAGTTGAAGTTGTTTTCGAATACTTGCAATCAGCAAACGAAAGCAATGCCCTACAGGAGTAGGAGTATAGCATAAGTCTTTTTGCTAATTTAAGTTAAAAGCTCGAAGTCCAACTTAACCAAAAATTTAGTGCTGCCTAAGAGTATGCAGTATTTACTTACGCTTTAGATATATCTAGCCATAACGAGAGCGATAGATGTTCGAGAAATATTGGTCGTATGGAAAAAAAAAAACTAAATACAAAAAACACTATCACAAGAAATAACTGTAAATGAGATAAATGCTGAAAAAACTCTAAAAGCCAAATTAAATGAGAACAACAACATTAATAGGAAAAGAGGAGAAGTTAACCCCTTTGTTCACTAAACTCTAATGCAAATTAAATCCAGTAGACTTAGTCGTTTCCGAAATATGATAGGAGCGAGCGAAATCGAAGTAAGAAAATACATAAAAAAACGAACATCCATACATTCTACATCAAGTGAAGCACCATAAAGGCACTAAAAAATATTTTCTTGTCACACAGATCTGGACATGAAAACACTTGTAATAATAGTAGCTCTCGACTATAGATAAAACGACAAAATTTCAGAAAATTGGAAACAATAATCTAACTTGAATTGAAATCCATAACAAAGGCAGGATACCTACGAGTGGAATTTTGTGGACGAGACGGCTCAGCGACTAATCAATAAAGCTGATTACAGCAATCCTTCCAAGAAGATAGAATCTAAGGCAATGTGTAAAATTGATTTCATTTATTTTAAAAGAAAGAAAAATGTTTGCTGAAAAAATAAGTTCAACTTGCCGGCTTACCGGCTTTTTTATTTGATCAATGCCATCTCAAAAGTCCAATTCTTCGATTAAAAAAACCTAATGTATTGTGTATACTCATATAAAGTCACATCTGCACTTCACATGCGTTTACATAATTGAGGGCACTTTACAATTTATTATTTTCTATTAGACGAATTGTTAAACGATCCTTTCAATAATACATCAACATAGTTGTCTAACTGCGGTTTTAATAGCATACATAATTACCTTAATAAGTCTTAATTAATTTTTGTGAACTTAAATATTAAAACTTAAATTAGAATTACATAAAGAAAATGAAAATGTGAAAGCAAGTAAGTCGCCATTACCGCAGTATAGAAGTTTAAAGGTTTCTTCATTCGATTTATAACGTTAGGATATAAACACAATCACACAGACATCGGGAAGAAATAATTAAAAGCAATAATAAAAGGCAACTCCATCACTTCGCTTAATCACAATTATTCATAATACTACTAACCTAAAAAGTAAGACCAATATTCAAGTTAAATTTGCGCGTGTATATCGAATATCAGAAATATCTTTTTTCTAAATTGTAGCACCGTGACAGACAGACATCTATATCAAATTTCACATCACGAACATCGTTTATATTTCAGATATGCTTTACAATGTGTGATCAAGGGCTCATGAAAGACATTATTACAGGGAATAAGACTTCGATCTACGCATACGACTCGGAAACCACCCATCACTCAAGCGCATATCGTGCAAAGGGCAAACCAAGACCGAAAAAACCGAAAAGGAATATTGTTTGAGCTTGTAGTTTACTTTGAAGTTGATGGAGTAGATTTGAAATAATAAATAGGTTAAAAAAAATAATAAAAATTTGAATTGGTCGTACTTTTTAGAGGCAGTAATATAACGATTTTTCAAAACAAAGCCTTATCTGCGAAATGATCATAAAAGTGATGCTCTCCGAAACGTTTTCAATAGTGTTCGTTCCTTGAGCCAAAATACAAAGTTCACCAAAGTACCTCAACAATTGCGGCCTGTTGTTGTTCAATCAGCTAACAAAGCGGACAGACGGACAGACGGACAGACAAACTTAGATCGATTCAGAAAGTGATGCCAAGATAAGTGATGTGGAGTACAAAAACTGTTACCTTGACTACCACTACGAATTTCATATCACTACATTGACGCATAAAGGCCGGATATTTATCAGAAAATGAACTTGACTTTCGTATATGCTTCATTAAATCATAACAATAAATTGTAACGAAGCAAGAAAACCAACTAGAAATTTTTCAAAAATAACTAGAGCGCTCATCAAAAAAAAAATCATTAAATTAGTTACTACCTACTAGACATAGCAAAGAAAGCTAAGAAAGGAAAGAAAGAAACAAAAAAAATTTGCCTACTATTCTTGCAATGAACACACCATCTAATCTTTATCAAAGAAAAAAAAAAAAAAAAAACCAGAAAACGCCCAAAAAAATCAATTGTCTACAATTTGTATTTATGGCAAACTTTTTACAATAATCAGCCTTTGCGTTAAAAGGTTAAGTCTATATGACTTGATATGATTACATTTGAATTCAGTCAACAAAAAATGCAAAACTAGGAGCGCCAAAGCGTTCAATACCATACTACAAATGTCGATCCAACCTTAGCCTTAGCCATCAATTTCGTATTTATTGCGCCAAGAAAAGAACAAAAACAAAGAAGAACTTAAAAAATAAAATAAAATTCGATAGCATGTCAATAATTGTGTTTTTTAAAATTTCGTTTTTTTGTTTTTATTTTTTTCTATTTTGCGCCCGTAGCCTATAACCATGTATTAAATAATTTTACTCTAAAAATTAATGATAGGATAGAGGTATTCCTGCAATTTCACACAGATTTTACTTTGGTGAAATATTTTATATCAAATAAGCAAGAAATTACTGCATATAAAATTGAAAAAACATATGCAAAATAACACAAGCCATGGACTGATTTGAATGGAACTCCTTTTCTTACAACTCTAACAAAGTGTAAGGCGTGAATACTTATATATATTTTTACATATTCATCATCTTCTTATTAGCGTCAATAATCTATTAAGGTCATACCTCATAATTATGCGGCCCTGATAATGATGACTAAGTACCTGATAGATAGATTCTTGACTGTAACTATATAAAAAACCATTAAATTCGTAGCTAGGAAAGGTCACTGTAAATCACTGTAAAATCACATTCGTTTTAATCTCTTCTTTCTCTTCTCTTCTCTTAATGATTATTATTAGAATTCTTCGCTTAAAAATTGAAACAGAATCCTGACGCTGTTTTTACATACAATCTCAGTCAAACACAACAGAGTTGAAAATACGATTAATTCGTCTACAAGCACGCGACACGTGACTATTGACTTTTCCAATAATAGACGAAAATTTCCCTCGAAGTAAAGTCTATAAATTTCTGAATTAATTGAATTCAAAATTAATCGTAATAAGCTACAACTAAATAGACAGGTATTTACGAAGTAGAAGAATAACTCGCTTCAAGTTGTATTTGTTAGACGATATTTTCTCTTTGCAAGGATTCCCTCGAGGAAGTACTTTTACGACTTATTCTCTCTCCTTTAATTATATATCTCGCAACTATATCCTTCTAGTTTTTTCAGCGTTATTATTGGGTATTCTTTTTTCATATATTGTGATTATCCAAAAAATTCTGAAATATCTCGATAACTTTTTCCAATTTTCACCTCGAATAAATGAGATATAAACAATTGACAGTAAAGTTGTAATTAAAAGTTTGTCATCAAAGGTGCAAGCCAGTCGAACGGGATCATTTCTGCACCGACCACACCTTGGGTCTTTCCCAAATGTATTGATGAGTTCGAAAATCGCAGACGTAGTCTACACAAAGTTACACAAAATTTAAGTAAATTGTCTATTAGAGATTTATAATTTCTCAATACTTCACTACGGCGGACACGTAAATATCTTCCCGTTAACGCCAGGTTTAAATGGTTTCGCTTTCATCATAATTCTTTTTTTGAAAGCCTTCAAAACAAGTCATTATAATAACTAAATCTTATTAGAATGTTTTTGTTAATCTAGTTGTACACTGGATTTCCGCTTTTATCCATTACTCATCAGTTACACAATGCCAGCAGGTAAAAGATTAAAAATCCCGCTAACACTACTTCCCCAACATGTTGCAAGTTCCGTTATCAAAAAAAAAAAAAAACGAGCAACTAAAATCTCTGTTCATTTTATCAAATATGTGATTTTCGCAACATTGTATTAAAAAAAATGCCTTGGAGAATGAAGTGAAAATGGAACATGTGTTGGAGTGATAATTTCGTTATTTCGTTATATATATATGCGCGCATGCAAAAATATGTTTCTAACATCATCTAAGCACTGATCAAAATATAAAGTGAATTTTTATTTCGCCTTTTTGAAAAAATTGCATGTTAAGAAATTCATTTGCTGTAGAGCTACACCCGAACGAATCATACGTCAGCAAAGGTCACTCGAAAACCAAACACATGTTGGCAGTTTTTTTTTGGATTACAGCAGTAGTGGGTATTGCGAATTACTTCCATCCGACCAAGAATTGCATATTATATGAATATTATACTCCAGTTGCGCACATTAATTTCATGTGTGCCCGGGGGAATGTAGGAGTACACCAGATTAATATATT